GATGCGGTACGATTGAACACAGTACATTTTTCGATATCGTGTACTGTTTATAAGTAAATATTGTGTTTATATCACATATTATCGTACATGTGTGGGAGGGGAAAAAGTTCTTGCACCCTCTACCCGAAAAATTTAACTTACCATAACCTGTGTTACAACAATCGTTAACTATCATTAATTATCACGATGCACATTGTCACTTGTATTGTGTCCAATAATATATCGTGTCGAATAATTTGATGTCGAGTCGTACGGTTTTGAATAATTTTGTGTCCAATAAATTTGTGTCAAATAATTTTGTGTCCTCTAAATCTGTGTTCTATAATTTTCGGTACAATAATTTGATGTCAAATCGAGCAGTGTCAAATCGTACTATGATCAAACGGAACACGCCCGTCAGCCACTTCAACTAGCAATAGTAAAAAGTATCAATCTTAGACTTAAAAAGCTCGTTCACAATAATAGAACTATCGGTACAAAACATTGTGTTTCCAACAATAATGAAAGAAGAATAATTTGTTGGATGTCGAGGAAGGTCGGGTGGTAAAGATGAAGTTCTAAGCTTGAACTTGTATTCTTATTGTTATTGCTCCGTTTACAATGTTCCTTTTGTTCTTTACACGGCTGTTCCTCACTGTGGTAAACTCTCCGGTTTGCGGAGCCACACAGTGAGCTAGCAGTCGATTCACAGACTCTGCCCTGCTTCATCCACGTGATCGATTTATAGTAGATCGATCGCGCCGATTCAGCAGGCCCACTGGTCTTAGCAACGGCCGTGCTAGTTACCGGTGCCGGTGTCGACACATGCTGCGTTGCACTTCGGACAATGCGGCGATGTGTCGCACCCTGTGGCAACCAGCAGTTCTTCCTAGAACTGCTGCTTCCCGCAACCTAACTAGGTCATTGAGCAATGACAGTAATGTCTCATCACATTGCTCACTGGCCTCATTTTATTTTACTTTTACTACAAAAATTGGCGCACAACAAATTGTTCTTCCGTATATAAAAAACTTTCAGAGCCAATCTCCAAAGTATTTAATAGCAATGACTTCCTGATCGGATACAGATGTTTTAATAAATTAAATAGTTTAATCAGGATCCATAAGGACAGAACTGACTATGACTCTCAAACTAATATTGTATACAAAATCAATTGTAAGGATTGCTCAGCGTCTTATGTGGGACAGACTAAGAAGCGATTAAAAACGAGACTGAAGGAACATTTTACTAACATAAAACGTTCCTCCTCCCAACTATCAGTAATCTCAAAACACAGAACAGATCTCAATCATTCTTTTGATTGGGACGATGTCCAGATTTTAGATCATGAACACCATTATTATAAAAGACTAATTTCTGAAATGATCTTTATAAAAAAACAGTCACACGGTTTAAATTCTGTTAACGATTTAGACTTACTAGATACTTTTTACTTCAATGTTTTGAATGTCTCTCACTGTGAAAAACAACCACTGTGAGTGGGAGAACACCTATATGTCTCGTGCCTCTTATCTCTTCCTTCAGAGTCTGACTATCTGGCATCTTAGTAAGTTCATTTTAAATTTTGTTTCTTGTGTAACTGTGATTGAATACTCTACTTTATTATCTTTTAGAATGTCATCTCCAAGGTATTTACACCATGTTTACTATCAACAGCCAACTCTTTGCGTTGCTTTTAAACATTGCCTTTGTTTATTTCTTGACATAATGTATACTGCGTATTTTTTCATATTATTTCACAATTACGACTGAAGAGGACTCAAGTTAGAATCAAAATATTTTGTGTATTTTTTATATATTGTAAAGTGGTAATTATTAAATCATTATATTATTATATTAATATCTTTTTATTGGCTCAATGTGACCTTTTTTATTTGCTAATTTGTATTTACATTGCAAGCGTTTCTGTTAATTTATTATATTTTTTCTTAGTAAAAAGTAAGTGAGAAGGTGAAAAGTGAGATCAAATTGCTTATCAGTAACTTCTTGACAGTATCCTATTTGATGGTAAAATCCTGAAATGCGGCAGTTTTAATCATTTCATTAAGTGCTGTTTCATCAAGGATTCGATGTCTTAGATCATTTAAATTCTAAGGCTTTGTATTGTAGACTTGATTTTTCAGATAACTCCACAGAAAGTAATTAAGAGGTCAAATCCGGCGGTCGAACTAGTCACTCAATTATTCCTCTTCTTTCTATCCATCGGTCGGGAAAAACTGTTTCTAAGCAATCGCAAACGTTCATAATAAGATGATGCACCTCGTTGGAACTACGTATTCCTAATATTTTTATTTACAATTCGTGAGTATTGCAGGGATCACTTTATTCTTCAGCACATTTTCATATTTTTCGGCATTTAAATCACCTTCAATTAAGAATAATCCAATTAAACTATTATTTAGTACGCTTGCTCAAACATTTCACTTCTATGGATATTGGGTGTTTATCTTCTCGCATCCAATGAAGATTCGTATCAGACTACCTACGTAGCACACTAGCGCCTAAAAAGCGCTTAAAAAAACGCTAATGCAGATGCAAAACTTTAGCGATCTAAAAGCGTCTTTTAGCGATTTAAAAGCGCATTCAGAATCCACTATAAAAAGCGTATTATAAGCGCATACAATCAGCGCAAGGTAAATGCAGTTGTATACCACTTTAAGCGCACTCAAAATCTGTGTAAAAAAGCGCATTATAGACACATTATAAGCGCAGTTTCAAGGCACTTTTGCGGAAAAAATAAGTTAGGTTAAGATTATGTTAGAGGTCTCGGGCGACTTTCCCCCACCTTGTCGTGGTGCCCGGGCTTAGGGGAGCGCTGATCCGAGGGGCTATGCTGGCGGGGACTCTTTAGAGTCTCTGGCAAGGTCACTCATGCCAGACAGGCCCTCGGAGAGCTCCTGTACTAAGAGGGGAAATAGAGGAAGGAAAACCTCAAACAAAAACCGGGGGTTCTCAGCTTCGCTTAGCATCTTTTGCCGGTGCAACTGGGATAGAGGAAAAAACCCTGACTTCAAATCCGGGGACGTCCGACCTCGTCAGCCACGGCGCAATCAGATTAGGAGAGTAAACCCTGACTAAAAATCCGGGATGTCCAGCTCCGAGAGGCGCTTTTGGGCCGACCATTGGACTAGAGGAAGGAAAACCTTGACTCCAAACCCGGATAGGACGGACTCGTTATTTTTGTCCGGGAACCGTCCTAGGAGAAGGACACTCCAAAATTAAACCAACCTTAAAACAATTATGATGGCGTCGAAATTTAAGGAGAGTTGTTTACCGCCACAGGGGGGTCGGATCCCCAGTGTCCGGCACGAGGGTGGTATTGTCCCGGCCACCTTCGGGTTGTCATTCGACGACGGGCTCTGTGATGCTTGCCCCGCAAGGGCATCACAGAACAATGCGTCTGCGATGACCGGTGCTGCTGCACCAAAGGAGGGTGATTCCCCTGTGATTCGCCCGTCGAAGTATCGGCGGGTCGTAAAGTTGGGCGGCTCCTCCGGGGTGAGTAGTAATCGCGCATGCGGCAAGCTTTTCACCTCGGATGAGTTGGAAAAAGAAGAGAAAAGAAGCTCACGTCACCAGGCCTCGTCACAGCGCGAGTCTCAACCGGGGCCCTCGTAACGTCATCTCGAGGCTCCCCCGTTGGACGCCATAAGTGCTCCCTTTCCGGACATTGACTCCAATATGGAGGTCAAAGTCATGTCTCTTAGTGCTAGTAGAGCCAAGGAAGCAAAACCTCCAAATCCCCTCCCTCTTCCCGTTGAGAGGGCCATCACCCAGGGGGACAACAAGAGGAAGAGAGGGAGGGGCAGACCCCCGACCACCGGCGAATACGTCGGCTTGGCAGCTGCCAAACGGCAGCTAAATGAGGAGAGAGAGAGAGTTGCAGCTCCAAGCTGAAGAGGAGCTGGCCGCGGATGTTGACGCCATCCGCGTCGCGACCAGGTACACTCCCTTGAGCCGGCCCTCTTCCTTTAACCGGGCGGAGGGTAACGGCACAGGTGACACCTCGGCGCCGGTACTTGTCTCTAGGGACATGCCGACGCCGCAGGTGGTTAAGCATGCCGCGAAGATGGCGGAAGCGGTCCGAAGCTTGGCGACAAGATCCAAGCACTTCAAAAGGACTTTTGTCCGCCAGTTTAAGGAAGCGGCTAACGGCTTGGAAGATGCCGTATCAATCGTGGCAGACCGGATGGACTTGTCGGAGGAGACCCGACGACTGGAAGCGCTCAACAGGAAGTTGAGCGCTGAAGTCACCAACCTGCGCAACTCAGTCTCCTCTTTAGAAAAAGAATAGAGCGCTGTCCAAACCAAGCTGGACATCGTTCTTAAAAAGAATCGGCGCCTACAAGGGGAGGTGGACGCTCTCCATGAGGAACTGAGGGACATGAAGAGAGAACTCATGTCCCTCAAAAGGGACCGGGTGAGGGAAGTGAAGGAGCGAAGGATGCAACCGGCGGATCGGCATTTCTCCTCTCTTCCGGTTTTATCCCTGCGGGAAGGACGGGAGATATCCCCACCGGGGTCTCCACCGCTACCGGTGCCGGAGGTCTCCCGCGAGGCGGCCCCTCCGTCACCCGAAGAAGCCAGAAGGCACAGTCCTTCGCGGCCGAGGCGGTCAGAGGTGCCGGCTATCCAGCACGACCCTCCGACCCAACCACCGGGCGAGCAAGAGGGCCCGAAGACTTTCGGGCAAATGGAGAGCCGGATGATGGATGCCGTTCGCTTCTAATTAAACGTCTTTTGGGAGCAGATCCATTTTCGGCTCTCCCGCCCAACTTTGGGCTCAGGGGAAGGCGAGACTTTGTTGCCCCCTCTCTTCAGAGTAAAGGCCCTGCACAACAGGGCCCAAAGGAGAGAGGTGCCGGCCCTTCCGCCACACCCGCTCCCACGAAGAGTGTTTCTTCTCTCCCCTCCCAGGAGGAAAAAAGAAAAAGAAAAAGAAGGCGAAGAAGAAGAAGGACGCGAAGGGAGACGGTGAAAGCCCGCCGGGGACGGGGGAGATGGCTGAGGCCACCTCCCAGACGCTCAAGCCTATATCCGGTCCTTCACCGTCTTTCTCCCAGCCGCCTGCTTCCTCCACCTTACAGAACACTTGGTCCTTGGTGGTGGGACGCAAGAAGAAGAAGCAGCCGGCACCCCAAACCCCGGCTTCGGCCAAAGCTGATAACGCCAAAGGAGGCAGAGGGCCGACCAAATCGGGAGCGAGTGCGGCTCAAGCCACTCCTCCCAAACCAAAGTTAGGGAAACCGCCCCGCTCGGCGGCGGTTGTACTCACTGCTCCCGAAGGGGCAAGTACAAGTTTCCTGGGGGAGGTCTTGTCGTATGTTCGGGGTCGGGTGGCACTTGGGCCCTTCGGCATCACAGACCTCCGCCCGAGAAGGGCGCTCACCGGGGCACTGATTCTTAAAGTCTCCGGTGAAAACAGCGAGGCCAGGGCGGACAAGCTCTATGAGGCAATGCTCCCCCTGGTTCTTGAGAAGGGTGCAAGACTCGCGAGGCCGATCAAGACCGTGGACATCAGAGTCCGTGGCCTCGACGAGTTCATTTCCCCCACCGAGATCGGAGACGCAATGGCATCCGCCGGGGGCTGCCGACCGACCAATGTAAAGATTGGCCAAGTTTGCGCCCTCCCGGCTGATTGCTCACTGCATGGGTGCCCCTTGGTAGCGGCCCAAAAGATCATGGCGACCGGGGCCATCCGAGTAGGCTGGGTGAGAGCACCAGTTGAGGTGCTGAAGAGACGACCCCTCCAGTGCCATAGGTGCCTTTGGCGCGGGCACGTAATGTCAGCGTGCACATACACCGCGCCGGAGGAAGACCAGAGAGGTCGCTGTTATCAGTGCGGCGACCGGGGTCACAGGGTGTCGACATGTCCAGCGTCGGCACCCAAGTGCCCGTTATGTACGGACGCCTGGGGGGAAGAGAATGTGCCCCGGCCTCCAGAAAAGGCAAGTGGGCCTCCAGGGCCATAACTATAAGTGGCACCCAGCCCACTCAACAAGGAAAGACTCCTGCCGCTGAGACAGACACACCGGCGGGTAATAGCGAGGGGACTGCACCCCCCTCCTTTCCTAAGAGTGGTGCCCTGAAAAAGGACGCGATGGACGTCTTATAATGGCTCTACTCCTCCAGGGCAATCTAAACCATGCCCGTGAGGTCCAAGACCTAATGGTCCAAAGCCTCACGGAGCTTGGCAGTAGCGGCCAAGCCCTACTTCGTCCCTAGGCATCCGTCGTGGCTGGGATCGGAAGACGGCTCGGTCGCGTTGTTTTTCCGGTAGGGACCTGGACCAGAGTCCACCATCTTCTCTTCTCTGGAGAGGGGAGAAAGGTATGTGGTGGCGGAATAGGGGAAACTGGCAATCGTGGGGTGTTACTTCTCCCCCACGATTGCCCTTCCACAAGTTTGAGATGTACTTGGGCGGGCTGGAGCGGGTGATACGCCGTTTCCAGACCCGTCCATTATTGGTCCTGGAGGACTTCAACGCCAAGTCGGAGACTTGGGGTTCCCCCAGGACTGATGTGCGTGGAAGGGCCTTCGGAGAATGTATAGCGGCCTGCGGTCTTGCCGTGTTAAACGAGGACACGCGGCACATGTGCGTCCAAGGCGCGACAGAAGGTCCATCGTTGATGTGACCTTTGCCTCCCGGTCCGCTGTGGCACGTGTGTCCGAGTGGAAGGTCAGAGACGATCTGGAGACCCTCTCTGATCATTGTTATATAACGATGAGGGTCTCCGTACTCCCTGGTTCCTCTCGGGGTCGCCACGGGGTGAGACGTAAATCCCGTTCCCAAGGGTGGGTCCTCCGTAAACTGGACCCAAGTATCCTGTGCGCCGCTGTTCAGATTGCGGCTTGGCCACGCCCACTGGCCGAGCCGCGTGACCTCCGTGCGGAGCTCCGGTTTCGCGGAACGATCAACATGATCTGCGATGCAGCCATGCCGCGTTCTCGCGGACCACCGGGTTGAAGGTCGGTGTATTGGTGGTCGGAGGAAATTGCTGGTCTCAGGACCGCGAGCATTCGAGCCCACTACCGATACACCCATGCCCGTCGCCGACTCCATCTTGGCGACGAGGCAGTCCGAGCAGCGGAGGCGGCGTATGAAGGCTACCGCGCGGCGCGCAAAGCCCTACGAACCGCCATTAAGAAGGCAAAGTCCCGAGCGTGGTCAGAACTCCTCGAGATGGTCGAAGCGGATCCATAGGGCCGCCCCTACCGTTTGGTAATGGGCAAACTTTGCCCCTGGACACCGCCGATCACAAAGAGTTTAAATCCCCAGCTCCTAGAGAGGGTCGTGTCTACCCTCTTCCCTAGCGGGAGAGGTAATTAGCCCTCCCGGAAGCTAAAGTTGGACCATCCCGTAGAGTGGTCCAACAAGCTAGGAGTCACGGAGAAGAAGTTCCGTCGGGCCGTCCGTCGGATGACGCGGAAGAACACCGCTCTCGACGGCGTGCCCGGCAAAGTACTGGGCTTTGCCTTTGGATAGGGTCTCTTGGGAGAGCGCCTCAGGCAAATATTTACTGATTGCTTGAGAACGAGCTGGTTCCTCCTAGCGTAGAAACAGGCCAACCTGGTCCTGCTCTGTAAAGAAGGAAAGCCTGCGGACTCGCCATCCGCGTACCGGCCGATTTGTCTGCTCGACGAGACGGGCAAGCTCTTGCCCAAGCGCATCATTGCCTATCGTCTCGTCGAGCACCTGTCACGGATAGGTCCCGACCTGGCCGATTGCCAGTACGGGTTCCGTGGGGAACGGTCAACGGTGGACGCCGTTTTCCATCTTAAATTCTTCACGGAGGCGTCGGTCAGGCAGAGGAGGAGGGCATTGGCGGTCTCTTTAGACATATCTAATGCCTTCAACTCCCTCTCCTGAGATAGCATAGGGTGGACCCTCGAACGTCACAAGGTTTCATCCTATCTGAGTAGGTTTCTCGGTGACTACTTCCGTGGCAGAAAGATAAGATATACTGGCAGGTACGGATCACCACTGCACAGGGAGATGTGCCGCGAGGTTCCACAGGGGTCGGTTCTTGGCCCACTGTTGTGGAACCTCGGATACAACGTGGTGATCCAGGCCGCGCTTTCCAGAGAGCTAGTGGTCATCTGCTATGCAGATGACACTCTGATAGGTGCCTCTGAGAAAGACTGGCGCAGGACCAGGCTGTTGGCCGAGGTTGGAACAAACTGCGTCGTTGACCGCATCGAGAGACTGGGCCTCAGGGTGGCCGTCCACAAAACAGAAGGTATGTGGTTTTATGACCACTGTCGTGAGCGGCCCCATGCACTCAGTCTCTCCGTAAGTGAGGCACGGATCGAGGTGGGTACTACCGTATAGTACCTTGGTCTCTTCCTCGACCTGAGGTGGCGCTTCGACGAGCACTTTGCTCGTTTGGCCTCCATGGTTCGGACGGTAGCCAATGCGCTGGCACGCATCCAGCCGAACCTTGGGGGTCCGAGGTTTAAAGTCCGTCGTCTCTACGCGAATGTTGTCCACTCGGTGGCCCTATATGGGGCGCCGCTGTGGGCGGAGGCCGCTGCAAGGGCTGGAGTGCAAAGCACATTTGGACTGCTCCGCTCCTCCCAACAAGTAGCAGTCCTTTGCGTCACATGCGGTTTCCGGACTATAGCTAGAGAGACGGCGAACGTACTGGCGGGGATGCCTCCCTTTGCCCTCCTTGCTGACATGTACTCGGCGAGATACTCTCGCCGAGTCGAACTTCAGCAGGAGGGCCTCGCAGAAGACGCTCTGCGGGAGGCTTTCGCCGAGTCGGAACGCCAAGCCCGGCGACAGCTGCTCCTTGACTTGGAGCAGTTCCTGTGCGAGCCAGACGTGGACGCTTAGAAAATCGTCCGGGTTGTCCGGCCTCACTTAGAAGTGTGGTTGGACAACGGGGTCGGACGCCTCGCCTACCGTATGACGCAGATGCTTACTGGGCATGGCTGCTTCGGTGAGTACCTGTGTCGCATTGGACGCGAGTCAACGACGCAGTGTCACGAGTGTGGAGCGACCAGTGACTCGGTGGAGCACACCGTGGAAGAGTGTCCACGGTGGGCCTCTGAACGCCGGGAACTGATCGCCAAAATAGGAGAAGACCTCTCTCTGGAGAGCCTAGTGAAGGCGCTGTGCTCCAGAGAGGAGGAAAAGTGGGGTGTAGTTGTCTCTTTATGCTGTGATGAAGCAGAAGGAGGCAGCTGAAAGAAAGAGAGAAAGGCTTCCTTTTTCTCTCTGAGGAGACCTTGAAGGCGTGCGCGAGCGGGCGGCGAATTTGCCTCCGTTCCCCGCGTTCGTCCTCGTGGTCGTGGCACTCTCCGGTAGTGTCAAATCCTTCCTCCTCTCTAGGGGAGGAAGGAGGAGAAGACCTTTGTTAAAAGAGGTGGTGGGCGTTGGGATAAGCCGGTCTCCCCTCGTTAGCTCATCTCCCCGGAGAAGAGACGCTCGTAAGAGGAGCGCGAAGGAAGAACACGCAGCGGTCGGTAATCCCTGGGGTGGTACCGTCTACTCCGGGGGATGGTTAGGTTAATTAAAACCGCCGTGGGACCGCGACGAGTCGGGGTGGAGGCCCCGGCTCGTCCTGCACGCGGTCCGGGTTGGGGTGACACTGCGGTGTGTGTCCCGCAGTGTCACCAAGTGTGAGTATGCAAAGCACCTTGAGTGCAGGAGAGAAGAAAACACGCAGTTCTTCCCCATCCAGGACTTCCGAGCTTCAGGGAGGGATCTGCGCGCATTCTCGTAAAGGAAATCCAAGATCCCTCTCTATTATGAGCTGAATGGACACACCGTAGTGGTTTTAGTGGATAAACCTCTTCCCTCTTGAGGGACGGAGGAGGGAGTCCCACATAACTCTGGCCCTTCCCCCCAGGATCAGGGTATCCATAAAAGATTTCCACCACGTTAAAAAAAAAAAAAAAGATTATGGTAGAGGTAGGTTAAATCTAATTATAAAGTAGATCTAATTAATATAATAAAGTAGATCTAATTTAAATTTAACAAAATAACAAAACGGACAAATAAATCTAATTAGATTCAAATTAATCTCAACTTATCATTAATTGTTAAATATAAATTAATATAAAGATCTACATAGATACAAGTAGATCTACGTAAATATTTACACTTTTATTGATCATTAGATCTACTATAGATTTACTCAAATCTACTATATTCAGATCAGCTTAGATCCGTTCAAATCTGCTTAGATTTAACAAGAGAAGAGTATACCTTTGAGGTCACCAAATTTGATTAAATTTTGCAGGTACGTAGTGTCACTGAAAGAGTGTGGAATGCTATCCGGAGTCGACGCGCTACTCAAGCGTTTAAAAGAAATTGCGGTTTAAAGTTTTACATGTATAATAAGTAAAGTTGGAATAAGATTTTCAAAGTGGCGGCGTAGCGCAGCGGCAAGGTGCCGCGCTACGAGTCTAGACGTAGCGCCTTGGTGGTTTTGTGATTGTTTTTTTACCGCACATACATTTTTTTCACTATTTCTTATTTATTTTAATTATTTAATTATATGTTTTAAGCTCGGTGAATATTCAAATAAATAGAGATAAGGAAATGGGAGCAACAAGCTAACGCCAAATATTCGGGTAAAATTCTTTTATAATTCGATGATTTTAAAGTTTTAACAAACGTTTTGAACCACTACGGGATTTTTTTTAGTGATTTAATAAAAACTGACAAAAAGATCATGATCTATTCAAGATCATGAAGACTAAGAAAAGATACGCTACATAGATATTCAGTATGAGAAAAAGAGAGGCGGAAATAGCAGTCGCGTAACCGTCAGTATTACGCAAAAGGACGCAAAACGTTCTCCAGCTTTGAATGTAACTGACAGACTGAACGAACCCTTCCATATTCAAGATACATGTAACGGTCTCATCCCCACCACAACGCTTTCACCAAACGAAGACTAAGATTCGCCTTGTAATTTTACAAAAATGAAAAATATAGTTTGAGCTTGTTCGTGTCCGA